GAGAGAGAGAGAGAGAGAGAGAGAGAGAGAGAGAGAGAGAGGCAGAAGACTTGACATTGGTAAATTGGGAACCAGGCTTCTTGAGCTGAGATATGAGATTCATTGTTTGGAGGTGTCCTGGAGGTGAGGAGATTTAGGTGGATTGAGACTATTATTATTGGGCGCTGCTGTATGTTGGTTCTTGTTCTTCTACTACTTTCTTTCTTTCTCTTCTCATCACCCCTTCCTCTGTTTACCACCTTGGACTTGGTTTGTGTTTGGTTTCAGCGGGGAGGTCTCTTTTGCGTTTAGACCCCCCATGGCTGCTGTAAGATCGGATGTGAGTCACGTTGCCATTTTGCAGCATTGTTGGGTCAGCCCTGGCTGATTTGAGTCTGAAGTCCTATGCTGTGTACATCTCTTCAGTATGCTGGTGATGGTTGGACTTGCACTGCCTCGGATCATCACTGGGCAAGCATCATCAGCTATCCTCCCAGGCACAGCTGTTACAACTGGAACTGATGATGCGCAGTGACCGCTAAGGATGATACAAAAATCCAGGAACGGCACCTAAAGGGCCCAAAATCAAGAAGGAAAAACAAAAAGGCGTGTGGACAGCTGGAGCCCCTCTTGCCCCATAAGTCACTGGCCACCCTCTTCCATGTGCAAATGTCAGTACAGTTCTTAATGACTTTTTATTTTCTTCTCCAGCATCATACAAAGAATGTGCATGGTCCCAATAAGTTCAAAATGTTTGATCGATCAGAACATATCTGGTCCACAAAACAGTCCAGATACGTGTCGAATGTTGAGTACTGGAGTGAGGCCCCTTGTTTCCAAAGACATGATGAACCATCCATCTTCCACAGAGAGTAAAATGAGAGAGGTGGGGGGAGGGGGGTGCGGTCATAGAGATGCAGAACTCGTTGTACCTGTCATCTTTCCACACTGGGCTGAAGAGCAATCTTGGCACAACTAGTGTTGCTTGTAAGAACCAGGCTATGGCAACACTTGTCACGATCTGTTCACCACAAATAACAGGACATACAAGCGAAAATCAGCCACCTCTCCAAAGATTACTCCCAGTGGCAAAGCATGAATCGGCCCAAGACCTCACCCAGTGGCATGAAAGCACGAGTCGGCAAACGTTTCCTTTCTTTCTGACCTCTTTTTCTTTTCAATGGTGGAAGCCTTGAGGTATCATCATCACACTGACCAGCCCCGCGTAATTCAGATTTATTTTCTCTCTTGAGATTCTGTCAGGATTCAAACTTGGATCTGTTTATCAACAGTTACGTGGGTGTGCCATTGAAGCCAGAGCAATCCGCTGACAGGATCAACATTGCCCGATGTGCGGTGTAGTGATGTAAGACAACACACAGACACACACACACACACACACACAGATTTGTGTGGATGATTAAGGCATATTGTAAACACCTGCCAAATACGGACTGAGACACCCAGCTGATTTCTGAGTTTTGCCAATGGCATGAATGCCTTGCTGAGTTTTCCTCTTGTTGCTGAGTTTCCTAAGTCTGTGTGTGTGCGTGCTTGCTGGTCTGCGTCTGCGTGCCTGTCTGAGTACTTGACGACTTGAGTGCGTGTGTGACCCCCAAGGGTACATCCGTTCTGAGACAAAAAGACAATGCACTGTAGAAAGATATGGCGTCCAAA